TTTCACATTATTGAATGAGTATAGATGGCCTATCAGGTCTCTTTCTACAACTACTGCTGCAGACAAAAGGAATGACTCACTGTTCCCTGCACACATTTTAGAGTCCTTAAATGCGTGTCCTCTGGCATAATCTCCCTAGGTCTAAGCCTTCTTTTACCCATTGTGGGCTACACCACACTGGACAGGTCACTTGACCTCTTGGTATCTTAATTTCTTCAACTCTAAAAAGGGCCCGAGAAAAGTGCCTCCCTAGCAGCATCCCCGTCCCACCTCGAATTGGTTGAGGCCTCCCCATCGGTGAAATGAGGCGGATGGTGATGACAGTCTTAGCAGCCCTGCTGTTGGGAGGATGAAATGAGGGAACACACAGGAAGTGCCCAGCCTGCTCAGCAAATGGTTATTGCTGCTCTGATTGTTATTAGTCTAGTGCTGGTTCTGGCACAAATTAGAGAGACCTGCTTTTCTGGTCATGCTTTTGGGCCATCTGCAGGAGGGGAATTAGATCCTCCTGGGGTCCATTCTAACCTTTTCATGCTGTTGTGATGGGGGAAGAGAGGACTAAATGGAAAGACCCTCAGTCTAATACCTCTCCTTTCGCCTGACTCAAGCATTGATTCCTTTTTACCTGTGGGTTTGTTTTTTGTTTTTTTTTTGCCTTGAAAAGAAATAAGACAAACTATTAGTTTGTTTTCTGTCACCGGTACAGTCTTGGATCCTATAGTCCTTGGGGTGGCCTTTTCTTGACCATCCCATTTGAGGTGTCTCCCCTCTCACTCCCCTACCCCACAGTCCCTCTCCACCTCACCATCCAGTTTAGTTCCTTCATAGGATTTTTCCTAATTTATGCCATTATGGTCTGCCTTCTTGCTTCCTGGACTGGAAGATTCATGAGGTCAGAGAATCTGTACTGTTCACTGCTGGTAGGAAAGAGGGAGGGTGGGAGAAAGAGAGGGCCAGTTGAGGTCCTTGGATATACTTTAAAGGTCTCGGACTTCAATCCAGAGTCAACTCTGATTTGAGGATCAGAAACTATATGAACCAGCCGGAGCTGCTCTCTCCATGCCAGCGGAGTTTGACTTGGTTCCTAGTTCATTCTCTGGATTTCACACAGATCTCTCAGGCTGTGTGGCCAGTCGATCTCTAAGGAGGACACAGGGCCTTCTCACCCAATTCCAGGCACAGATGTTTTTCTCCTTGGTCAGCTAGTGCCCGCCAGGAGCCTGCTGGCCTAGCTATACCAGTCATCTCTGGATGACTTAGAGCACAGGGTGGGAATAGAATAAATAGTAGAAATAACAGCAACTTATCTTCATCTGTGGGACTTTTTCTGTGTGCCCCAGTAACCTAATAAGCTAAGTACTCTTACTGTCCCCATTTTATGGAGGAAGGACCAGAGGCTTAAAGAGATGTTATTAGCTTAAAAAACCATAAGCTTTATAAGTAACTGGGCCGATATTCAAACCTGTTTTAAAAGCAACCGTTTCACTGCTGTGGTGCTGAGCTGTGGACTTCAAATCCTTGAAGTTTTGACTTCAGGATGTGTTGTGGGCAGGGAGGCAGAGGGAGAAAGGGAAGGAAATGTTGCAGATTTATCTTCCTAATTTTACTTGGCTTAGGCTAATATTACAATTATTTTGAGCACTCCACTGACAAAGGCGGAAGAGAGAACCCAATTCGATATTAAATATTTGCAATGGAAAATTCACAAAGTCTTTCGGAACGGAAGATAGTTCCGAGGAGTTCCCCTGGGACTAATTCAGCCAGTTGTTCCTTCTGCGGCATGCTTCCTGTGGTTGCTTCACTGTTCTCAGAAATGAGCATTCCTGACTTTGAAGTCCTGGGGTTACGCCAGGCTAGATGCTGAACTCTGCCTTGGTTTCCCTGGCAATGCACAAAGAAAGGGGGCAGGGCTGTGCATTGCACTTAATTGCTTGAGTTGCAATTCTGTTATTTGTGAAAATTTCATTAAACTGGGCGCCTCCAGTCAGGGAAGTGGGATATATCACAACCACCATAGTCATCCTTGCTGATCCTGAGTGAGCATTTGCTGTGTGCCATGCAGAGTGCTAAGCTCTGCCCTGACTCTTAATCCTCCAGATTGCCCTGTAGTCAAGGTCCTGTCAACCCTCTTTTATAGACTAAGAGACAGGATCAGAGAGGTTAGGTTCTGGGCTGGGCCCAGTCGGCAAGTGGCAGAGTTGGGATAAGAAGCCAACGCTGTTTGACCCCAAATCCCATGCCATAATCCACCATGCTCTGTGCCAGAAGGATCCCCAGGACTCAGAGCTGATGGAGGAGCTAGCGATTACTTCTGACCCCTTGCAATGGCAGTCCAGAATTGACAGTCCAGAGAGGGAGTGATCTCCCATCTGATTCAGCTGCCCTGTCACATGCTGCATTCCTACTGGTGATCTTGGTCTGGGTACATCCAAGGTGAGGAATGAACCCATGCCTCCAAACCTAGCTGGTCACTTAGGTTTGGAGGCATGGGTTCTGAGCACTTCTTGAGTGTTTGAAGTGGCACTGTCCTGTCCCTCATCACGGCCATGCAGCCTGAATTATTAGCAGCTCTGCTGGAGTCTGATTTCTGATGAGGTAACATCTGAGAAGTAACCTTCAGGAGGACAGGGACTTTCTGAATTGTATTCATTGCTATGGACACTCAGAACAGCACCGGGCATGTTGTGGGGCTTCATATGCATTTGTTGAATCCTTTCTCCTGATTGGTCTCCTGCTTCCCCTGTTGACCCTTCCTGTCTGTCTCCCCTTTGGCCAGCCCTTCTCATAGGCTGTTCTTTTTTGCATAAAATGCTGTTCCATTTGTGTAATATCCTGTTGCCTACTCTTTGCATGCCTCGTACCCTCTCCCTTTCAGGTCTCAATTTAAAGTCACCCCTTTAGATGGGCCTTCCTGGATCTCCATGTAGCCTGTCCTCCACATCCAACTGGTGTCTCTGTGCTAAATGCTTTCGTAACACCCTATACCTTTCCTTCAAGGCATGTGTCCCGATTTATAACTGCACATAGATGAGCGGATCTAACCTCTCAGTAGACTGTTAGCTCCATGAGGGCAGAGACCCTCTCTATTTTGCTCACCGTTGTCCTCCCCAATGCTTGCTAGGCCCTACTCACTGAACATTTGTGAATGAATGAATTCTTCAACCCTCCTCACAGATACCAGAGTCCCCCAGAGGGACAGGTTCTAATGTATTTAGTATTTGTACCGGGATGAAGGTTTTCTCCCATCCCTGGCGCTCAACCACTTTATTAGGCTGAATTAGGCTTCATGCATCATGGAAGGGAGTGGTTTGTTTTCTCTTTGGATCAGAGAACACTTGGGTTCATGGGAGGTTCTTGTCTGCCCTCACCACAGTTACCCATCTCCAGGTCAGAGGAGCTGGGGCAGCTGCTTTCAGGGACACTGGCTATTTCCTGGGATTTGAGAGTTCTTGAGACTCAGAGTTCTCAACCATTTACTCATTGGACAATGTGAAAAAAAAAAAAAAAGTGTGTGTGCAGGCCTGCTTGTTATCTATTCTCCATCTTCTTTCCCCACCTCAAGATATCTTGTTAGCATTAAAATGACTGAATTTTTTCACCAGAGAAAATGGGAGAAGTTGGGAAAAATAAAAAAATAATCCTTTTCAAGTGTAAGCTGGGTTATTGCAATCGAGGGGGGAGGGGTGAGCAGAGAGTTCCCATGTTTGAGGCTGGGGGCGGGGGTTGGGGGGGTGGGGAGGGAGCAAAAACATCTGAACAAAACATTTTGCTGGCTCTGAACTCTCGCTGGGCTCTAGTGCCCTTGACCTCTCTCACAAGTGGCCACTCTGAAGGGTAAGACAATCCAGAGAGACCAGAAATTCTGCATGGGCCCCTCTGGTCTTGTTCTCTCCCCCTTATCCCTTTTTTTCCTTATTGACAAACGCAGCTCAGGCTCTTCCTTACTTGCCCTTCCTCATCAGTATTGGCTTTCAGCTCGCCCAGCCCGACATCCTGTGGACGCTGCAGTTCAGACAAACAGCAAGATCATCAAAGAGAGGAGCATGAATGAAAAACTGCTTTATGACATGCCTTCAAAGTGTCTTTTTAGAAGTTCAAAGGATGTGGAGAGGAGGCAGGGGAATCAAAGAAGATGGGGAGAGCAATGAACTCTCCAAGGAATCGTTGGGTTTTTCATTGTGTATTTTCTGTGACACTTGTGATGTAAAAATCAAAAGTGATCTCAGCCCTCAAGGGTTCTCTGTGTGCACATCTGATGTAAAGTCAGAAACAGCTCACCTTGCTGGTGGGGGGGCTTTACCCCGGCATGCTAAGCCACCCATTTGCATCTGTATTTCCTGTTTGGACCTCGATCGAATATTTTGATCTGGGAAGGCTGTGTGTCCAGAGATGGAGATTGAATGCTGCTTATGTGGTTCGATGGAGATGAATAATTTAGTTTGTGCAGAAATTCCCCATTATCTTTTCCACTTAAAGACAAGCCTGAGTCCTGCTGTAGCAGTGACGATGCCTACCTCAGAAAAAAAATCTGGCATAGATCATAAGATCTCAGAGACGTCCGTTCTGAAAGTTAGGAGAATCGAGATTCCACTTGAGGCTGGAGCTGGCACAATTGGTAAACTTATGGGCACATCACTAGTTGGATGCAGAAGTGGCGTATGACCAATGCATCCAGAGTGTTTTAGCAACTAATATAATGCCTGGCACATGGAGGATGTGAGTGAAATGAATGAATGGATGAACAAATGAACAGCTTTGTTTTGGTGACCCTAGAGTAGACTCTTTTATGGGTCTGTTTCCTATTCTCTTTGGGCCATTCAGGCCCAGAATACAAGGATAGTCTTGAGGCTGAGATTTGAATTGCTGTAAGTCTGCAAGGGACTTCAACTGCAAGGGACAGACACCCCAACTCAAAATGAGTTGAGGCAGAAGGAATTTTTTGATTGATATTATTGGAAACTCCAAAGGTAGGTTTGACTTCAATGTTTGTGTCTCCACAGAGAGAAGATATAGCCAGTCACCAGATATTGAATCTGCCAGCCCCTTGATCTTGGACTCTCCAGCCTCCAGAGCTGTAAGAAATCCATTTCTGTTGTCTAGACACCATCCAGTCTATGGTATTTTTGTTACCACAGCCCGAACGGGCTAAGACGACTAGTTCCTGGGGCTCTGATAATGTCCTCAGGTCCCTGTTTTACCCCCTTCACCTCTCAACTCTTCTCTGTGTGTATTAGCAGTCTGTTTTTGGCAGACTCTTCCCTAGGGTGCAGGGCACAGGAAGTATTGTTTTATGGTTAAGAACACAATCTCTGGAGCCAGAAGCAGCCTTGATTCAAATCCCCAGTCCATCCCTTATTAATTGTACAACCTAGACATGTTTCTTTTTCTTTTTTTCCTGGATGATTAATTTCTTTTATTAGGTCCTTTTAAAAATTTATTCTTTATTGTTGAAAGTATTACATATGTCCCCTTCTCCCCTCCCCCCCATTGACCCATCCTATCCTCCCTCCCCCGGTCCAGGTCTTCAGTACTCTATTGTCTGTGTTCATGGGTTATGCATATATGCATACAAGCACAACAAGACATGAATCTTCACATCCCTGTGCCTGTTTCCTTGTCTTTAAATTTGGAGGTGATGGTGGTGGTAGTGATGGTAATAGTCATAGATAAAAATGTATTGAGCACTTGCTGTGTGCCTGGTATTCTTCTAAGTGCTGTATGCATACAAATTCACTAATCTTCAAAAACAACTATGAGGTAGGTAGTATTATTAGCTCCATATTATATAATAGATGAGGAAACTGAAGTACAGAAAATTTAAATAATAGCTTGCCTGTTATGTAACTAATAAATGTCAGAGCCAGAATTCAAACACCAGGTAGTCTGGTTCCAGAGTCAACACCGTTGATCTCCAAACTATGCTGTCACATATAACAGAAATGACAACTCATGGGGTTAATTGGGAGTTAAATGATATAATACACAGAGTGAGCAAAAGGAGGCTTACAGTTGTAATAAAAAATAATATAATAAATAAAAAATTAATAATACACAAATAAACTGTGTTTCATGAGAGCCAAAGAGTAGAATTATTAGAAGGGGACAGAGAAGCCCCCTACACTAAGTGTTCACATGGGCAATGGAGGCTGCCTTATTTGGGAGAAGAGCACTGTGGCTGATGAACGCAACGAGAAGGTGGTCAGAGGCCTTGCCTCTGGGTCCTGCTGAGTCCTCCAGCATGGAACAGTGAGGGAAGAGGTTGAATGTGTTTAGAAAGAAGCAGCATCTTTAAGGTCAATTGCTGTATCACCCGGACAGTGCTCAGGTTAAGTTAGGAGGTCGAGTGCCAGTTCCTCTGGATCTGCAGGAAGGTAAATAGGACATAATTACTCAGATGGCATGTGGGCAGGCCCCAAGGCCACCTTCTGAGAAGTGCTGGGCAAGCATTCGAAACCACTAATGATGCCCCTTCAGGCCCTGGTGCTGCTCAGGGATGGCGCCACCAGCCCTGAAGTGCCCATTCCCATGGTCCTGGGTGAGTCAGGCTGAGCTGAAGCAGGGCCCCTGCCTGAATCACCAGTCCCACTTCCTCCACTTCCTGGTGGTCTCCACCCACACAACCACCACACCCAGGTTAGCCTTGACCAGTGGGACCAAAATTAGTGTCTGAGGCAAAATGGGAATGTTGGTCCAACGTCCTGTGGGTGATGGATGAATTACAAAAGGACCCAGAGGTACAGATATCAATTCGCCGGTTTCCCCATAAGTTCCTACCACCTTCCACTGAGTGGGCCATCTATTGCTAGAGTAGGCATTGAAGAGACACTTCCTTCAGTGGCCAAGTCTAAGCAGCCTTTTCCTGTCAACCATCTCAGGGTCAGGTGGGAGATGTTACTGTGTGGTAGGTACCATCACCATAAATATAACTTTCCTACAGCTGCTTATTCATTTGTGTTTTTGGTCTAATCATTTCTGCATGTCATTAGCCATGCTGGTTATACCAAACATTTCTCCCCTACCTTGTCTTCTTTCCTTGCACTGATGTCCTTGCTTACTGCATTAAAGAACGAAAAAGTCAATTGCATAACTAACACTCGGTCTCTCTCTGTTCTTCACCATTTTCTCCTGCAAACTCTGGGTATTTTATCCATGGTATTTCCTTCTCTCTGTCTCCCATTATATTGGATATTTTGATCTGTATTTTCTGATTCCTTACTTGAAACCTATATCAAAATGGCCCATCCAACAAATAGCTATCTTATATCAACTCTCCACTGTACATGTAGCTATACCTGTTTCTTCACCAAATATCTTCCTTTTTTCCTGACCCAATCTCCTGAGAGAATAGATTACTTGTTATCCCCACTTCTCAACAATTACAATCTGGTTTCTGCTTCTAACGCATCACTGAAACTACCTTCTAGACCTCAAATATTTTAAACAGTTCATCCCTATCATTGAAAGGAAAAATTTAGTTTATGTCTCAGTATATGATTATTTATTTATAAATCATATAGATTTGCTAATATACAAACATATATACTATACTCTAAAATATAAACCAAAATAAATAGTTTAAAAGATGATTTAAATATAGAAGTTCAAATATCTTCTCTAAGTGGGTAGTATACTTTGGTTTAACTACTGATTTCAATATACAGTTGACCCTTGAACAACATGAGGGTTAGGGGCACCAACCTCCCATGCAGTTGAAAATTCACATATAACTATTAGCTCCCCCAAAAGTTAATTACTAATAGCCTACTGTTGACTGGAAATTTTACCAGTAACAGTTGATTAATACATATTTTGTGTGTTATATGTATTATATATTATATTCTTATAATAAAGTAATCTAGAAAAAATAAAATGTTTTTAAAAAAACCATGAGGAAGAGCAAATACATTTATAGTATTTATTGAAAAAAATCTGCATATACATGAACTCACATTTTTCAAGGGTCAACTGTATTTTATTTATTTATTTATTGTCAGTTTGAGATATAAATTAATCCAATAGCATCAACTTTAAGTGTACAATTCAATGAGTTTAGACAAGTGTATGAAGTCTTATAAATAGTACCCTAATCTATATATATAAAAGCCCAGTGACCAAATAGCTGAAAGATCAGAACAATCAGTCAACCAGTTGCTATGATGTGTACTGACCACCAAGGGGCAGACGCTCAACACAGGAGCTGCCCCCTGGTGGTCAGTGCATTCCCACAGTGGGGCTAGCGACTCAGCTGACCAGGATGAGTGGTGCTCCCACAGTGGGCTGATCCCCATAGGCCACACCTCCCACTAGTGCATGAATCCTGTGCACTGAGCCTCTAGTCATAATATAAAACATTTATCAACTCATAAAGATCCCTCATTCCTCTGTAGTTAATCCCTTTTCTCTACTCTGGCCCTCTACAACCACTGACCTGCTTTTTATCACTACAGTTTTGCCTTTTCTAGAATTTCATATAAATTAAACCACATAGAATGCAGTTTTGTATGTCTTGATTCTTTCCTTTACCATGGTACTTTTGAGACTCATGCTGCTGCATATATTGGTAGTTCATTTTCATGGCCAAGTATGGATATACCACATGTATTTATTCATTTACTTGTTGATGGACATTTAAGTGGTTTCTAGTGTTTGGCTATTATGACTAAAACTTCTATGAGAATTGACATATAAGTCTTTGTGTGGATATATATTTTGATTTCTCTTGGGTAAATATGTGGAATTTCTGGGTAATATGTTAAATGTATGTTTAATTTTAAAAGAAACTACCTATTTTGTAGAGTGGCTATAAGATTTTGCATCTCCATCAGTAAGGTGTGAGACTTTAAGTTGCTCCCACATCCTTGCTTACACTTGATATTGTCAGTTTAAATTTTAGCCATTCAATGGATATGTAGTAATAACCATTGTGCTTACTTGCTATCAGTATCTGCTCTTTGATGAAATGTTTGTTTTGCCCATTTCATTTTTTATCAATTTTTTCTTCTTATTGCATTGTAAGCATTCTTTTTGTACTAGTATATGTCTTTTATCAGATATATGTTTTGCAAATATTTTTTTGTAGTATATATCTTATGGCTTATGTCCTATTTAAAAATTCTTTGCCTAACCCAAGTTCACATACATTTTCTCCTGCATTTTGAGCTAGAAGTTTAATAATTTTAACTTTTACTTTGAAGCTTTGATTAATCTAGAGGTAAAATGTTTTGTGGTGTGAAACAAGAATTTTTTGTTTGTTTGATTTTGCATATGAGTAGCCAGTACCATTTGGTAAAAGATGGTCTTTTCCCCATTGAATTGCATTGGAAATTTATTTGAAATTCACTTGACCATAAATCCACATATCTATTTTTGGATTCTATTCTGTTTCATTTGTGTGGCTAACTTTTTTCTTTCTTTTTTTTTTTTTTAATATATATATTTTATTGATTTTACACAGAGAGGAATTGAGAGGGACAGAGAGTTAGAAACATCGATGAGAGAGAAACATTGACCAGCTGCCTCTTGCACACCCCCCACTGGGGATGTGCCTGCAACCAAGGTACATGCCCTTGACCGGAATCGAACCAGGGACCTTTCTGCAGGCCGACGTTCTATCCACTGAACCAAACTGGTCCTGGCTTGTGTGGCTATCTTTATGCCCATATGACATGGTATCTCATGCTTACTCTAGTTTAATATAATAATAAGGCTTGAAATCAAGTAGTGTGGTACTTTAATTTTTTTATTTATCAAGACTGCTTAGACTTTGCTACTTTTGAAATGTATCTAAATCTACCATCTTGTAATTTTTTTATATGTCCCATCTGTATTTTGTTGTTTTTTCACTTTTTTGGATTGCTTTTTATGATTTAATTTTTCAGAGACTCTCCTGAAGTATATTTACATACCATAAAATTATCCATTTTAGGTACAACTCAATACTTTTTAGTAAATTTCCAGAATCATTCAACTATCACCACAATCATTTTTATAATATTTCCAACACCTCCAAAGATCTTTTATGCTCATTTGCTATCAATATGATTCCATTTTATCTCCTTTATTGGTTTAATTAGCTATACCTCTTTTTATTTTTTACATGCGCCTGTAGAATTTACAGGGTTTTTATTTATTTATTTATTTATTTATTATTATTTTTTTTTTGCTGCTTTACTAATCATCATCCAAGGATATTTTCCCATTGATTTTTAGAGAGAATGGAAGTGAATGGGAGAGAGAGAGAGAGAGAGAGAAACATTGATCTGAGAAAGACACAGTGATTAGCCTCTGCATGTGCTCCCTGACCAGGACCAAGGATTGAGCCTGCAACTGAGGTATGTGCCCTTGACTGGAATCGACCTGTGACCTACTGGTTCATAGGTTAACACTCAACCACTGAGCCATGCTGGCCGGGCAACAGTATACATCTTTAATTTAGTATGTTCTGTCTTCAAGTAATACCATACCACTTCCTGTTTAGCATAAGAACTTCACAGCAGTAAATTTCTACTCCTTTTCCCCACTCTGTACCTCCTTTTGTGCTGTTGTGGTCATTTTTGTTTCTGCTTGTGCTATGAGCCCCTCAAATTATTGTTGCTATTTTTATTTGAAACAGTCACTTTTTTTTAAAGGAGAATTTTTAAAGTAAGAAAAAAAAAAGTATATATATTTTTTCACCTCTTTTTCATGTCTGACATTCTTCATTCCTTTGTGTAGACCCAGATTTCCACTTGTTATTATTAACCTTCTGCCTGAAAGACTTTCTTTAACATTACTCATAGTGATGGTCTGTTCACGTTTTCTATGTTTGAAAATGTCTTTATTTCACCTTTGAATTTGAAAAATATGTTTGCTGGGTATACAATTCTAGGTTAACAGTTCTGTTTTCTTTCAGCACTTTAAAGATATTATTGTATTCTGGATTGCACTGTTTCTGATGTGGTCTGCTA